ATCTGCAAGTAGTGACGGACACAATTGCTTAAATATATACACATCCGGCAGACGGCTAAAATGCCATATCTGTAAGCCTTATATATAAAAACAAAAATATATATACCTTTTCTAAATTTTTTTCAAAAAAATTTATAAATATTTTTTATTTATTTTTAAATACCATAATATTATTGTTAAAAATATTTATTAATTTTTATTATTTTATTTTTTATTATCTATTCATTTACTAGAACTGAAGTCATTGAAAATCTAAACTAGATATATAGGTCCTAAAAATTTCAATCTAATTTAAGATGTAATATATGGAAAATCAAAGGTTATAGAAGTAAAAATTATATACTGTATTCGTAATCATAATATATTTATAATGACAGATGGCTTCGTTTTACTTAATTAGTCTAACATAATGTATATGATTTAAGAAAAAATACTGTAATATTCTAATCAGGTCTTAGATTCTAGTACTTTACATCGTTGTTTAACACTAGTAGTAGATGCTATAAGTATATAAGGTAGTAAGAATTTTTCAGATAAAAAATGAAAAGTGTTTACTAATTTAGAATTTATATGTAACTAAAGCAAATGATTTCAAGCAATTATATATTTGTAATTAGTAACCTAAATGGAGACCAGCTATTCTTATATTAGTCTTTTGTTGTTATTATTACAACAATTTTTTTTTTGTCAGTGCTTACGCACTACGACCACAATTCGGCGTCGCAGAAAGTGAGTGCCCTTCTCGCATGAACTAAACCCTTGCCAATTATTCCTAGAAACATTTTTTACTCCGGAACTACTTTAGTATTACTTTAACGTACGGTCCCTATTAGTATTTTAAGATTTCCATAGTGCGTGCAGGCCCTACTGTTGCTTCTGTTGACAACTCTTGCACTTCGTCTTTGTGTAATATATCTGCTTGCTCCAGCTACCTTCTGTTATGATCTACTTTTTTCAACCTTAGGATCTTTTCAGCAACATTCCTATACAATCTCTGTTTCGTTTTTTTTTTCGATCACATTTTCTGTCACCGTCCTCAGGAAAAAAAACTCCAACTTTGCGCTGCTAGCACTTCTCGTAGTCACTTATTGCACATAAAGAATGTGTGCTCTGCTGTATAATCCTCAGCTCAGCATTATATGTAGTTTGGAGAATCAATTTTGCAGATTCGGTGACACATGCACATGCTGTTGGAATATCCAAAACCAAATAGCAACTGAGTGATCTGTTGTTATTATAATAAATTGCAAATAATATAAAGTAATATATATAGGCTCCTCGGGGAGGTATGCAGATCTGAGGTCAATTATTGTTAGCCTGATGAAGTGATAAACAATAATCTAGTCAAGGTGTAGGAAGGGGTTTTGAAGAAAACTTGAGTTAAAAACGAGTATAAGTGCTTAAATGCATTAGGTCAAAACAGTTTCAACATAATAATAAAAAGTGTGCTGTTCTGACTATACATTTTTTTACATCATAGCCATACTTACTACCTAAAAACATTTGTTTTTTTCCAATTTATTTTTAACTTTCTCCTGCAAAACTGTCATTAACTATAAAGTTGGAATAAACTTTACCCTCACTTCAACATATTTGCATATATCAAATTTATAAATATATTTTCATTTTTCTCTTATCGTTCTAAAACCACAATATTTTTAAATCACAAAAGTTACTTTCCCTTTTGAAATGTCTTAGTAATAGTACTAATACAGCAGTGCAAGCGGAAATATAATCTGACATCTTTGACTCTAATGGCATCGGAACAACCGTAAATAAATAGCCAAAAATGATGAAAATGGCTTTAAACCGCAATGTCAACTGCCAACCAAAATTGAAAGTCAATAAAAATAAAAACAGAAATAAAAATAAAAATAAAAATACAAATAAAAATAAAGAAATGACAAACGACTTAAACGTTTAAATATGTTTATAAATAAAAAAATTAATACCAATCTTCTCCATTTCCACACTTCATCATGACTTCTTCATTAAGCCATTTGTAGGGTTCCTTATAGTCGATAGAAATTTCTACATTGGCTTGTCCATTAACGTTGCCAAGCACGTTCTGCTTTTAACAACCTGATTTCCCTTCTTAGATTCGGATTGGTGCATTGGACGAAAATAAATTTTTATGTGGAGTGTGCCATAAATACCAAATTTAAAAGTGACATTTCAAATAAACAAAATTGGCTCAATTGGCTCGAATTGCAGAACTTGTTGAAGAGAGGAGTTGAAATTGGTAAAGTAAATAAGTGAGTTGTGCGATTAGCCATTGGCGTTGGCCAACTAAAAAGTGTCAATTTTTATCAATGAACTTAAATTTCCATTTCATTTTTATGCAAAGCGTCCATTAGATTCACACATTTTTGTTTTGAGAGAATTTTCTGTTAGATACGATGAAATGTTATCATTTGGAATGGGTACCGGTCACAGGGGATCGAAGTAGTCGATTGGTTAAATTAAAGTGTACATACATTGTTCCATTTTGAGAAGGATTTACGTGACTTCGAAATGCGGGAACTCAATACTTTTACCATAAAATGTTGAATATTTTGGGGTTCATGAATTATTTTTATAATACGAAAAGGGACAAATTTACAAATGTTTTCCCAATAAATCAACTCTTTGGTACAATTGGATTTATTTTTCTGCTATTTTACTACTTTTATTTATTTATTTTTTTTTTGCTGCTTGGTTTTTTTTTTTTGTAAAGAAAAAACCAATATTAAAAATAAAACTTATTACGCAAATACGTTTCAATACAGATTTACTCCCCATCAAAATAAAGAATTTATTTATTTTTACTTATTTTTTTTACTTTTATAATAATAACAACTTAAGTATTCTATACCTAAGAAATCGAATTTATCTTCTCAACTTTAAGAATATTTTTATTAAGGCTTTTCAGATAAATTTTTCGTGCCACTATTTATTTATTTTTTTAGCGCAGTTAGAGGGCACTATTTTGTCTTATTTATTAAAGCTGTTAGCTGATACTATGACTATTGTTTATCTTACACTTTTTTTCTTCGCTTTTTAATGTCTTTAGTTGGCACCATAGCTGGAGCAAACATATATATTTGAGCTAAGTTGAGTACTAAACTTAATAGGTTCACACTGTGTTTCATTTAAACATAAAAATATCAAAACTTTGAGATGAATTGTAAAGTCTGGCTGTCTAAGTCGTAGTGCAAGCTTCACAAACATTAAAGTACTTGTTAATTTGAAAACGATCTACTTTAAATTAAACCTTCAGGTAAAAGTTTTGTATTAAGATAAGAAAAAATGTTTGGTATTGACTTTACAGAAGTTCAATAAAAACTCTATACACAAAAAATGGGACTGAAAAAATTACTACTTACTATTTTAATTGCCACACGAAAAATGCAACAAAACTTTAACCCATCTCACTCAAGTCATATTGTCATTCACTCATTGAATCCACTTAGCAACGTGAATAACATACGTAAAAATATGATAACGAATCCGTATGAGTGTATATGTAACTACCAACTAGAGATAGAAATTCAATTTATGGGATTACTGAAGTTATAGTATCTATACACTCAGGATATGCGGTTACAAACAGGTGTCTAATTTAAAATAAATGGTTTAATATACAAATGCGTTCCGAAGCTCATTCTAGCTGTATGTTTAAACCTAAAACACATTATCTGATACATAATCCTTAAGCTAAATACAACAAAATTAAATAATAATAAACGTTGGCTTTCAAGAAATTTTGTGTAACGAAGTTAAGTATTCGGTAATACAAATCTACATTATATAGTCTTATTTCTTTATGTAACTTACTGTTAACTAAATTATTCTCTATTAATTTAAACTCAAAAATTTGTGGAAGTAAACAAAATTTTTTGAATCCATTCAGTCTAGCTCGACGTGGCACCTTTTGCTTCGACCATGACCTTTACACTGTTAAAAAGTGAGTTGCATGCTTCACGAAAGCGATCTTCTGGTATTTTGGCCCATTCCTGAAAAATGGCTTTCTTCAGCGCATCCATACTGGCATATTTTTTAGTTTTCACATTGCTCTTTAAAATGGCCTAGATGGAGTAGTTCATCGTATTTGTATCTGGCGAATTCGAAATTCATTATATTGATGAAATGAAGTACGGAACATGATTTTTTAAACATTCTTGGTTCATATGAGCTTTATGAGACGGTGCCGAGTATTATTGGAACGTCCATGGTCTACGACTGAAATCTTAGCGTGCCCACGGGTCTTAAGCAACTTCCCAAAACATTTTCCCGACAACAAATCGCATTGACTTTGACACCAGGCTCGATGAAAATGATTGGAGAGCATCCATCGGCTATTACAGCTGCCCTTATATATAACTATAAACATAATCTTGGCATGAGAGTTAAGTATATACTCGTATAACTTTATATAGGGGCATTTTCGAAACTAATGTTTGTCACAAAGATCAAACTCAATTAATTATTTTTGAAAACTTTATATACTACATATTTTAATGGTTATCGATTACTAAAAATTAAAAAAAAATTCTTAACATGTATGAAGCTCACTTTAAATATTTAAATTTTTTTTCTAGATAATAGGTTACCATTTAATAATAAAAAAATTAACTTTTTGAAGTGCGCGTGAGAAATGTAAGGAATTTAATAATTTTTTAATTAAGAAAAACAGTCAAATGGCATTTGTTGTAAGTGAAAACATTTGATATTCCAAAAAACAGTACGCAGCTGACCAACAGCCAAAACAAAACATTGAGCGACCAATGAATTAAAGGTACGAAGAGAACGAAGAAAAACAATCCATCAATTCGAGCGAACAACAATCGCAATTAAATTAATAAAGTACCGTCATATAAAAACGGCGTACAACTCACCGGGCATTTGCATATCCACTTGGATTGTCTGCGGGCAAGCACGCGCGAGAAATATAAACTAAGACACAAATCGATTGAAACGAGTAGGAGGACAACCAAGTGAGGACATCACACGCGTTCAGGATGAACAAATTTGGCCTTGTATTTGTGGTAGCACTCACTGCCTTGAGCAGCACAACTGCGCAATCGCCACGTTCCGCAACTGATTTAGCTTTCGATATGTACAACGGGTGCCTCAAGGATTTCAGCACATCTTGTGTGAAGCCGAAGGCAATGCAGTGGTTTAATCAAGCCATCAATCAAGATGAGATATTTGTCACAGATAAATTATCGATTGTACGCACAGGCCAAATAGAACCAGTTGAGCAACGTGCCATCAACGACGAAGAAACAATGTTCGACGACATTGACAATTTCTTAGCGACGCATGCATTGCGTATCAAAGCACCGGAATACTTCAAAACTCCAGAGGCACGTTCATACGTGCCCGATTTCTTATTAAATAATGCCTTAACCAAAGGCGCTGTAGTGCCACTAGCTGAGAGGAACTCCAATCAAGGTGAGTTTGGATATATATTTATGTTTGGATTGCTTAGCAAATTAAAATATCTATTTATTTCTTATTTTTTTAATTAAGGACGTGGTATGGTACGCAAGGTTCTTTTGCCTTTCCTTTTGGGTCTTAAACTTAAAACTACTGTACTAGTGCCATTAGCTCTTGCCTTGATCGCATTGAAAACATGGAAGGCCATGACTTTGGGTTTACTTTCCTTGGTGTTATCTGGCGCTTTAGTTATTTTCAAAATAGCCAAACCTAAGGTGAGCTTTTTTACTTCCTTTGAAATATTTATTTTATTAATACTAATATTGTTTATTTTTTTTAAAGATTGTTAACTATGAAGTTGTGCATTATCCACATCATGTCGATCATATTGAACATATTCCTCATCATGTCGAGCATATTGTTCCACATCATATTGAACACATCGTACCACACCATTTGGATCATCATATTGATCATCACCTAGAGGTACCTCATCATATTGAACACGTTGAACATTTGGATCACACTGCACCAGGATGGGATCCTCATGCTTGGGCGCGTTCATCACAGGAGCCCAAAGACGCACAGGATATGGCATACGCTGGACAAAACAGACGTTAACTGACGAAATTATGAAATGATATGAATTTGCTGAAATCGATTTGGTTGAAAAAAAGAATTATTTATTTTTCCTTAGGTTTAGTAACACAAATTTCCAAAGATTTGTTCACATATTTTTCTATATGAAAATATCTATGCGTACTTGTACAAAATTCTTATTTATTGCGAAATGTATTTTAGTTTTTAAATAAATCTGTAAATATTTATTTAAATTAAAGAATATTATGAAAATAATAAAAATGTTGAATATAATAATTTATTAAGACATTTAACTGAAATCTTAGCAAAGAAGAAGTAAGAAACGAGGTATTAATTTTTATACGGTTAAGAACTTTAAATGAAGTCGAATTTGACTAATTAATTAAATTTTATATAAAATAAAACATGAGATATCAATTTAAATATCTAGTGCCATGTTATGGCGATCACATGATCTTCCCTCAACGGTTTTGTTGTGGTTTCCAATGGTTCAGATTTTTTAACATATATTGAAAACAAAAACAAATGTAGTGATCACCGATCGTTTGATCACCTGCTAAACAAAGAAATTGCTCCTTATACCATAAATATGTTCAATATCCACGGATAATGAATTAATCAATTAATCAAAAAAAAAAAAAAAAAAAAAATTATTTTGGATGTTCTTTGAATTACTTATTAACTTCAGAAAAGTGCATACAGATATACTACTTTTTTTTCTTAAAGCCGATAAATGATTGACCACTGTTGCCATTAGAGATTTAAAAATCAGTATCACGTGAAACGATATTGGATCGCAATAGCTTACATTAAAATAGATAATATATTGAATTGAAACAGATTTAAACTCTCAAAGAGTCAAGGCACATCTAAGACAGCTACTTAGACAGCTGTTACACTCTGAACAAGAGCGTAATTCAACATGTCTCTTCTCTAGATTTGGAAGAGATATTGCCTATAGTTTTAATAAATTAGCCAAAGAGTGTAGCTTAGCATCATATTCTGCACATCTAAAATATCTGAGTGTATGGCTAGCATAATGCAAAAAATTAAACAATTAAATTCAAAAAATGCTAATAATCTATAATATAACATCTGTAACTATATGAATTGATCGTTTTTAAATAGAAAAAACTCTAGCAATATCAATGATATGGTATAACTCGTAAAGTAATATATTTTATGATTCAATTGCTGCAGAAAAACCATATTAAGTCATAACTTAATATTGCCTTGAATCACAATTGCTGCAGTTATAAGGCAAACGAAAATGGTACTTTGTCATCATTTTACATAAATTAAACTTTATTTTCTTAAGGACTTCAGTCAACTGCAAGGCTTCAACTAAATGTCTCTTAGGCATAAAATAAATGAAATATTCAATTACTGGCAATATAATATACGCACAGGTCTAAAGTGATCAGCGTAGCCCTTTTTGTAATTTAACTAATTTAAATATATTTTACTTAATTTCTCATTTATATTATTGATCAAATTTGAGAATTCAAATCATTCTATTTACTAATCATAAAGACACCTCACGTAATTAAATATTTATTATAATTTCTCTCCTAGCAACATAAGTACTGTTTCACCTATTTAATATTCCTATGAAACCAAAAAATTAAGCATCAGCATTTTTAAGTCGAGATTAAATAAATCTGGTTAAAGCCAGAATACCTTTTACATGAATTATATAAACTCAGAGGAACAACCGTAGAAGAAAAGATGGGATAAACTTTGCTTTGATTCCTTAGGCTAACATCTTTGAGACACCACTTACATATTAAAAACTTCTGCTTTGACAGTACCAACATGAGTGAAATTAAAACTACAGTTACCTATGATGTATTACCAACTAATTATAACTACATATGAACTAACTTTTTAAATACCTAACTATAATGACCCACATGTTGTCTCTTAATTCGAATATTACGTCATTTATATTCTATTATATAACAAAGACTTTTAACATAACATCCGAAAGATTACGAATAATTTGACAGATATAGAATAATTGAAATTACCCTTTGAAAAGATTATTTAGTCTGAAATTGATTTTTTAAACAATTTTGTCTAAAGTCCACAAAATAAACATCCTATTAAACACCCTTGTCACGATATTCTGTCTTTATATCTAGTGATTATTGAATATACCTAAATGAGTTCATTAGTTTATTGAATCTATCAAAGCACTGATGACACCATGCTCCTACAAAAACGTTCTTAAATTCTCAAAATTAGGTTGCTAACGGGTTTCAGTACGTGTCATTACGGTTCTAA